CACAATGAATGAAATCCGTAAAATTGCTGAGGAGAATCCTAACTTGAAGAAGGATTTAGTTGAAAGCCTTCAAGCTCCAATTCATTTGGTTCGTGATGTGTTTGATCGTCAGTTTCTCAAAGATGATCCCTTTAAAACATTTAATGCGGCAATGGATATAGAAATAGAGAGATTCTGGGAAACAATTCAACTTGTGGATGAAAATGTTACATGTGAAGATCGTACCGCTGAGCAAATAAGACAAAGGGTAAGCAAATTGCTAATTAACTGAAAAAAAAACTTAACTAACGTACCTTTGCTTAGACACGTATGCAAGAATTTTTGGAGCATTATTGCAAGTCGAGGCATTATTTTTTTTCCATCAAAAAATGCGGTGAACCAAACTGCACCATTTGTCGTTCTCTTCATTATTCGCCAGAAGATTTCGAACAGCTGCATCATCTTTCGGATCTGGTACCTGGTGAAAACTTGCATTACAAGTCGTTTGAAGAGTTATACGGTACGCAAACAACGAAAGATCATAGGCCTTCGTTAAAAGATGCTAAGATGAAAAAAAAAAACAAAATAGCAACTACAAAAAAATATAGTATGCCATTTTGTCCTTCTGCTATACGTACAAAAAATGTTGGTGTCATTGTAAACTGCATTGAATGCGAAAAGCCACACCTTTTATTCAATACAAAGAAACTCTCTGAAAAGGATAAGGCAATGCTACAAACGTTTTTAGATACAATATTTTACACTTGCGGAATGGCATTTCATAATACATGTGATCTGGCAAAGGCCATACTACCAAAGCAACAAAATGGTAACGAAGATGAGCAGCATGATGTGGATGATGAACCTGCTGAAGAGTCTGAAAAAGATGTGGAAGAGATTCATGAACTTTTTTCGAGAGTCTTTGTTAACGATTCATGGTCTTGTGCATCACAAATCGAAAAGCTATATTATTCAACTGGGATTTATCCAAATGTTTGTATTGAATGTGAAAGCTTGGATGTTATTAATAGAATAGCAAAAGACGAATTTCCACGGTGTAGTACCTGTAGTAACAATACCGCTGTTTCAAAAAAATGTCAAAAGTGGAAACAGGGTGGTAATGACAACGGAAAGCATACAAAGACTTAATTATTTTATTTCATTTTGTAGCTGAACGTCATTGTTTGGAAAGCAAATATGTATATACATTAAATAAAATGATTTATAATTGAAAATTTAAAGTTTATATACAGTTTATTAATGAACTAGACACATACATGCATATAACGCATACAAATAGATAAAATGTAAAGTTTATTTTAGTCAATTCACGTGATTTAGACGGAGCATTTTAATTGGCTACTATAAAAATTTATAATTTTAGATTTCATTTTACCGACCCGACCGGGATATGAAAACCAATTTTTTAACTTTGTGTCACCTAACCTAAAAAATAAAGATTATTTTAAATTATTAATATTTAAAAATTAAACAAGATTTTTTAGGAATTTGTTTATATAATGTAAATGGTAATTTAGTTTCAATTTTTGATTATTTTAATATGCATTCATCACGTGAATTCCTTTTAAAAATTTTTAATTAATAACTAGTTGACAAACAAATGGGACTTTTAGTAGTTAGCTACTATTATGGTTATACTGCGCTATATTAAAATGGAGATTTTAGTATATTTGATATAAGGGATTGGGTTTTTGCAGTATTAGGAAGTATGATAGTAGTAGTTTTAGATAGGAATATATACTATATAATAAAAAAATTTCTGAGTGACGGATGCATTAATATATTATGCAAAAAAACTCAGAAGAAATTTATCATATGAATCTTTATCGCAGTCATTATTATAATGATAATAAATTCATAATACACAAAAATTTTCAGATAATTTTTTTTTTATTTTAAAATTTTAAAATTCTTTACTAATCGAAAACATTTTTATATCTTATTAGGAAATTATAACATTAATAGATCAGAAAATTTTAATTACTACACAATATAAAATGAGGAACAGATATAATTATGATCATGAAAAAAGAGTGAGATTCTGTTTTTAAAGAATCAAAAATATATATTAAATTTTCGTAAATTTATTTATTAAGTAAAATATATTGTTATTTATAATAATGATCATACGTTATAATTAAAAGTTAATTATAATTAATCGTTAGGATCATCATTGATTTTTTTGATTTCTTTAAAGCTAATCTTTAAAAGCTAATTTCAGAATGTCACAAAATCATAACTATACATATAATTATATAACAATTTGATGTATTACACATGATTTATCATGAAATATCTATTCTTTCATGATATTTTAAGAGGATCTGTACTTTCATTCTAATATTTTTGCATTACGTTTTTTATTATATAGTATATATATATATGTAGATTAGTTTTCAATAATTCGCTTTATTATTTAATTTAAAAATGTGTTCGTAAATCTGATTCGTTTAATTATAAAAAAATCTGATTTGCAGAAATAAGGTCAAGTACTTACTGTATTTACTAGGAAACGGGTTATTAAGTATGAAGCACAAGTGTAACGAAAGAGACCAACTCAAATTTTGAGCGGGCGGACAAATAAATACTCTGGACTAATAATAATATCATATCTGATTAACCTTTCGATATATGGAAAAAAAATTTATAAGATTATTGATATAGTAACATGCATTATATAACTACAGTAAATCCTATGGATTTGTGATTTATTTTCCCACACCATACCACATAGAATAAACATATAGAGCCTGAATTATGGATGACTTTATTATGATATTGATTTTTTTTTGCATGAATAGTAGTTATATCATTTTTTCGCGTGCATATTTTGTGATAATGTTAGTAACCTTCAAATTTGTTTCTAGTGAATTATGTGTCAAATGATCACAGCAAAGAAATAGAAACAAGAGGTGGTGATGTTGTTACGCTTCTGTTGATCATTTTGCCATCATTTATTATTTCTTATATGAATTCCTCTTCAGTTAAATCTGGCAACTTCTCATCTATGACCTTAATACATTCTATGAACATTTTCTAAAGTTAAATAAAGTTGTATGCTACATGTCATTGATGTGTAAATGCAACATAAACCAACAAGAACAGTTCATACCTTTGCCTTCCAAACACTTAATAAGACCATGAATAAATTCTTTATATTTTTTATTTGTGTCAGGATTTCATTAAAATCTTCTTCTTTGAGAACAGACATGTATCCCTTTGTAGATAACATTCGATTTATTTGCAGTTTGAGCCCTACAATTGAAATTTTTCAGTTATTAAACTGAATAATAACTTCTTATATGAAACAAATTTCGTATATCTGAATATTGAAGTCCAACTGTTAAATTTTATCTTCATTTGATTTGATCAGATGAGTCAAACAAACCAACATATCATGCATGGATTTGGACAAATTATTACTTCACCTTTATCACCTCATATAGTGATATACATTTTTGATGTCCTAGAGATTTGTTATCCCAGCTATATGTTTCAGCTATATGTCCTAACCTGTCTCACACTATGTCCCAAATGTCCTATCTATCATATCTATGTTCTATCAGCATCCTATCAGTGTCCTATCAATGTCCCATGACAACACTAGCCTCATATTCTATATTGTCATAAGTTTTTAAAATTCTGTTAAGCTGACGTCCTAATTTTGCCCTTTCTTTTTGGGTTCGTTTTCGATTTTTTCTTCTTGATACAGCAATACTTGACGAATCTTTCCTATAACACGAATGTTATTAGGGTATGACAAATATCAGCTAATATAATAGGGTAAGAGGTGTATACAAATATCTCAGGTCCTAATTTAGAAAATCCAGCTGATATTATAATATTGAAATTCGGCCTAAATTATGAGACGATAATTATAAAATCAAACCAGATTAAATTAACTCATATGACTTGATTGTAATACTTTTGTGCATAAACAATGAATTAAGCTTTATTATTTTATTATTGTCAACTGAAAAACCAAAAGCAAAATACCAAAGCTTTAAAATCCAAAATTAAGAAATTGCAAATAAAAGAGATTGGAATCTGAACAAAAAGATTAAAAAAGAAGCTATAAAAAGAACTACTCTATATTTTCAAACTTTTCTACCTTTTATTATTCAACATCCGAAATATATTCACGACTAATTTTTTTGGAAGAGCCAGCTAAGTTTATATCAAAGTCATCAATAGAATTAGAGGGTTTCGTTTTTTGTGATTTTCTTTTTGAGTTAATATGTTCTGATTTTTTGTGTTTTGCTACCATTGCTAGTGTTGGAAAATATTTGTTACATATGGTGCAGCAAAGACGGGTATGCATTTCAGATGAAACAGATGGACAATGAGCATCATAAGGTGGTAATTTTAATTTGTCAATATATTGTAAAATATGAATTGGATTAAGAAAATGTCCATCTTGACCTTTTGTAACTGGTGGCAAAAAGCCATTATTTTCTCAAGAAAAGCAGCTGATTCTTCATATTTTACAGGATTACAGCAAGTAATGTTATTGCATTTTTTAATATCAAGGCTATATCGACAAATTTGAATATGCCTCTCTATCCATTTCCAAGGAACTTCAAATTCTTCATTAATTTGTTGTTCAAATATTTTATCTTTCATAAAGAGTATATTTAAAAATGAAGAAATATTATCTTCAATATATTGGGTTAATACTGGTTTTCCAAAGATTTGATCTCAATTCCAAAGATTGCATAAGGCTTCTCCAGTATGACGAAAATTTCTTTTTGCAAGATCTTGATTTATGACCTTTCCTTGACTATTTAGATGAGAGTCAAATGTATTTATTTGTAAAATTATGCCAGCTAATTTTTCAGAAAGAGTACACATAACGTATTCTTCCGATTTTAAGCACTACTTTTTTGAGGGAAAACTTTCATTAAAGTTTGGGATGGTGCTTAAATTCAGAAGTTTTTTTTAATTTTTTTTTTGTGCTTTGAAAAATTTTGTACTACATAAATTTATATAAATTCAATTTTATCTCTATTTTACATACATTTTTTTCACACGCAATGCCAAAAATTTAAAGGTCATCATATTCTGCTAGTGAAAGCTTGAAATTTTGCAATATGCAAAAATCATGGTCAAAGAGCAGCTGCATGTCATTTTTCTATTGATCATTCAATGATTTCGTCTTAATAAGTCATTTAAAGATAGACTTCGTAAAAAGTGGAACATTTGAATAAGTTTGGGTCAATTTTCTTATACTAAAGGTGGGAATTTAAGAAAGCCTGAATATAATATTATTTGCAAATAGATACTTAAGGCATAGGCGGAAATTCCAAAAGAAATGATTGTAAAGTCATTTAAAAAATGCGGTATTAGTAACGCAATAGATGGATCAGAAGACGATTTGTTTAGACAAGATGAAAAAGAGGAGAAAATTGATGAAAATGAAAGAGAAGTTATAGATATAGATAGTGATTGGGCTGATTAGATGAATTGGAAGATGATGATGAATTGTAAAATAAAATTTTATTTTGAAATAAAATATGAAATATAATAAAATTTTTTCAAATTTGGGTGGTGCTTATTTTTGTTTTTCAAGTTTTTGTACTGAAAGTTAGGGTGATGCTTAAAATTGGAAGGATATGGTACTTTTTTCAACAGGATTATAAGCTGATTGACCTGGAGCGTGAGTTCTTATTATCAAATAGTCAAGATCAAAATATCGAAATAACTTGCGATATTCATATATATTTTTTAGATATTGGGGATTTTCATCTGGTCCTCCATCAACTAGAAGAATCCAGATTGGTTTAATTTAATCATTATTTTTAAAAATGCTGGCAAATGATTCTTGACATGTAAGAGAGATCAAATCAGCCATATGTGTGTATTTGCATTTGTACCTACATTATATTGTGGGTGAATAAAAATACCTAGTTGACTATAATGAAGTGCATTATTGAAATCTGAAAGATCAATAGCAAGATAAACAAATGGAATTAATTTTTGCTGAGCTCTAGTTGGGAAATCATGATCTGCGATCAAAACAGCTTCTTTTATTGATTGCATTGTTTGAAAAGTTCTTTTAATAATAGGAATACCAAGTGGAACTTTTGCTTTATCATCTTGTGAAATGATGACAGATTGAAAAGAAAACAATGCTGCAAACTGCCTTACTCCTTTAATAGAAGAAAGACAATAATGCTCATCTATATATTCTTTTTTTTCTGTTCTTGAAACACCTGCAATTGCTACTAATGCAGGATAACGATGTGCTTTAGCAGCAAAACTTGAAGAATTTCATGGTAAAATATATGTATTTAATGTTGTTCTTGTAAGGTACTTATTATATTTCTCTTATAATGCTAAATGAAGATGGTAAATAGTTCTTACTTTAATCATTTCATGTCATTATTTTTCATGTGCTTTTTCAAATTTAATACAATCATGAATGTGTTCATGAAGATCAGAATATTTGTAAAAAATTAATGGTTGTCTAGGTGAATCATATGTTATTACTTCTTAATTTTCATGTAATATTTTTAATTTTTTTGCTGCTGATTTGGCTTGATAGGCTGCATTTCGTTTCAATGTTGCAATTCTTTTAGTCTTATCAGCAATTACTTTTTTTGTTCTTATAATTCGCTGCAAAATATCATGTTTTAATTCTGAATCTTTAATTGTTTCATAGGTTGCCTGTAAATCAAGTAATTTTGTGAACATTTCTTTTTTTATTGTAAGAGCTTTTTTTTTGTGTTGCAGCATTATTAGATACTTCCTCCTCAATAATGATTATATCTGGCTTTTTGGAAGAATTTGATGTTTGAGAATTATTAAGCAATTGTGAAAGGTTAGAATGAGATTGTACAAAACCTTGCAAATGCAAAGGAATTAGCGTAGCAAGATAAGTTTCAATTTGATTTGCAATTTCTTCTGGCTTTTTTTTAATTTCTTTCCATGCTTCTATAGATTCTGAACAAAGGTCCAATTTTTTATATATAGGATTTCCTGTTTTTATCATACGATGATATGTAAATGCATTTGTAAAAAGTTGGTGTTGTGTAGTTGGATTTTTATAGATATAATTTTATTATATTTTGGTATAATTAGGAATTTTTGCATTTTGAAAATCAAATAAAAAATCAATCAATATATAAGAAAGTCAATTTTTTATCCTTTTTTATGATCTCTTAATTAATTAAGGTGCAGTAAGATAAAAGGCGCAATATTAAAAAAAGTCAAAATTTTCCTTTTTTATAATTGTTTTTATGACTTATTGATGCTACTCTTTTAAATTATTTCCATTTTATACTTCGTTTTATAAATATAACTATTTGAAAAAGCAGATAAAAAGAAAGCGTAATAATGTGAATGGCGCAGAACACATATAACGCATACTATATTTTATATAAAATCTTTGCTGATCAATCCTTATGTAATATATCTGTTCCTCAGGAGGGGAGGAGGATCTCTATAATAAATAGCATATTAGCTAATATCTGTAATAACCCTTATGTGATACAATAAATAAATAAAAAATAAATTAAAATGTAACACTAAAATTTAATTGTGTTTTTGAGCCACCAAAACGAAAAAAAAATTTCATTCAATTTTGAGAAATCATAGATCTTAACCGTGATTCTTCTGCTATTTTCTCTTGCAGTCTCTTGCAAGGCAAGTTTTAATACGTTATAGTTTTTCAAAAGTAGAGTTTATATCCATTCATCCAGATACCTGATTAACTAATATCCGTTTTAATCTGGATATCCAGCTAATTTATCTGGATAATATCTGGATATCCAGAATATTATTCAGATATCCTAAATTATCTGGATATCCAGTTAATTTATCTGAATATTCAGAATATCTTTTGAATGAATTTTTATTTTAAGTTTTTTTTTGCTTTTGTAAATGAATTTAATTTAATTTTTCTCATTTAAAATTAATAAAGAAACTTCTCTATACACGTATTTTATATTGTTTCACTATGCATTACCAATTTTAGTCATTTTGATTTAATTATAGTTTCAGCACATAAATTAAAACTATAAAAATACATGATAATATTGCGTAATATTTTTATTTAAAAATATAAAATATATAAAAAATAATAAAATATATAAAAAAATTTAAAAAATTAATTTTGAGGCTGATGATGCCTAGTATTTCTATGCTACCTTCAGGAATGATAGTTCATTAAGAATGTAATATAAATTTAAATTTAACTAAAAATTCTTAATCTTAATAATTATCGGGTCTGTCTCAGAACTGGGTGATAAATAATCTATAATATCTCTCTCCAATTTGCAATCATCTTCCTCTTCTAGAACCATTGTGCCATTTGCAAAAATTCTAAAAAATTAATACTATTAGTATATACATATTTTTATTATCTTTATTCATTATTATTATTTTACTAACATAAAATGCGAAGACTAGATTTCTTCATTTCTGCTCACATTATGCAGCAGAGTAATCTATATGATAATTTCTTCAAATCCTTCTGGAAATACTTTCCCAGAATATAGCATGACTCCTTTCAGAAATACTGTAGTAATAAATGTTGTGCTACTTTTATATTATTGATTTAATTGAAAATCAAATTAATAATACAAGTAAGATAAAAGAAAGACGAATACTTAAAGCAAATTAAAAGACTATTTTATTTTTACATTCTTTCTTAGACTAAAAAATCTCTCCCTATAAAATCAGCGTTGCCATTGTATAAAAATAAAATAAAAAATCAAAATGTTTAATATAATTATTAGTCATTATTTTTTTAAATTTTTTTTTAAAAAATAAAAAAAATATGCTTTCCTTTATAAACAATTTCTCTTGTTTGAAATTCTATTTCTTTTTGTCAAAATTAACAATATTATATTAGTATCAACGTGAACAAATATTGATAAAACTATATTTTTAACTAAAATTCACATCAGACAATTACAGCTTAAATACTCTTACAGATTTTGAATCAGTATAATAATAAATTATATAATTACAGATCTACAATATAAAAACAAATTTTAGCTAAATCCTACAAATAAATTCAAATTAGCTTACAGATTTAGATCAATATAATAACGGGTCAGTATAATAACGAATCAGTATAATTACAGATCTATAAATAAGTTAATAAGTTTTTTCGAAAGTGGGTTAAATGATCATTTTTTATAGATTAGTATTTTGTATTACTTTTCAGTATATTCTGCTAATTCTTTAATAATAAATGATTTTCCGCAGCTTATTTGTGAAACAAAAAAAATATATATATAATTATGTAAATAATAAATAAACAAAATCAGTATAATTACAGATCTACATACAATATATCATCTCCAGTGATATATATCAAAAGATTCGCTCAAGATCAACTCAAGTTTAACTCAAGTTCACTATAAACGAATATAAATTCAACTCAAATCAGTTAGAAACTATTAATTTTATTAAATTATTTAATATTATAAATATTTTATTAAATATTCCATTAAATAATTAATTAAATTTTGTTAATTTTAACAATTGCATGTAAAAATTAACAGCAAAATTTCAATACAGATTGAACTCAAGTTTGAGAAAATTTTAAAATTGTGTATTGGTAATACCGACGACAAATAATAATCCTAAACTAATTTGCAATATGTATTATTGATCATAAATATATCTTAGCACATCATTTAAATCACATGGTATATATAAAAAAATATGATATTTAAGAAATATTTACAAAACTTCAAACTAGAACAGTCTCCGTTCCTTAATTAATAATAATTTTATAAAATATTTATTCAATTACATTTACGGTATCATACTAGAAAAAAAATGTTTTATTTATTGATAATCTACAACATGTATAACACAAAATATTTGTCTTACGCATCATGTTCCCATCTTGATCCTGCACAATTTAACTATATAACCTATGACCTAATCAAATTATTCAGATTCTGAAAAAATCTTACCAATCAGACGCTAATTTCATTTACAAAATACTAAATATTCAAAATTAGATGGCAATAAATTAGTATGCCTAACTATCATAACATTACCAGCATCAGAGAACAATCTTTCACTGGAAGCAGATGCCAGAATAGCTAAGTACTTTTTTGCTAATTGTAATAAGATTGGAAAGTGTGATTCCTGTGATGCTCACCATTTAAAAGAACAAGTACTAAAACTAGTTTTCTCCATTATCAGATATCTCTCAATTTTATTATACCTTTCAGTTCGATAATGATTAGCAAATATATTCTGAAGAAGAGAATTCCCAGTAATTGTGATTGTTGTTGTTGTTGAATTACACCTAAATCTTCTTTGGCTTTTTCATAAATTCCTTTTAAGAGATTTTTGTTCTAATCATTTACGAAACTAAGAAATTTATATCTTAGATCTAAGATTACAGTTATCATACCTTCATCTTGAGATACGTCCTAATAATGTTTCATCACTATATATAATGCTGATTTATCCTTCCCAATTAAATCATTACAGTCCTGTGGTATATTTATAGAAATTTTTTGCTGCTTTGGATGATTATCAATTTCATCATCATCATTAGGATCTTTAATACTAATATCATTATCAAAGACTGTTGTAAGGTTGGTGAGATCAATTTCCTCAGGATTTATTTCACTGGAACTAATAATCCTATTTGTAATCTCTATTATTGCATCATACATAAAGCTTATTGTCGCATATTTACTACCTTTAAGAAGTTCAGTTCCTGATGCAAAAGGTTTTAGTATTATAATTAATTATTTGATGACAATCCACTCGTCTCCAGTAAGATTTATTTTACTGAGTCTTTTTCTATCTTTTCACATTACAGGATATTTATCTCTCAACATAGTTATTGACATTACGTCAATCTAATCATGAATTTTTTCTAGCTGAACTCATGCTAAATACGATGAGTTCTAACAGGTATTTACGTAAGAAATAAGTCTAAGGTAGTGATCATTTTTACTTAGATCTAGGATTAAAGGAATTAAATATTAAAGATCAGAAAATGATTTAATTACAAATATGGATTTTAAATAAATTTACCTCTTTCTGATTACGTCTTATATTTTATTGAATTTCAATTAATTTTTCAGTTTACTTTAGCATTGTGAAGAAACTGATTAAACGTTTTGCTCATGTAACTAATCTTTCTGCTGGGATGAGCCCTTTTTCTACTACTAGTTGGAGCGTATGAGCTACACATGGTAAACATGTAATATTATTAGAATCTTTAAGCAACTTATTAGCTTTAACCATATTGCTTCCATTATCAGTGATTATTTTAAATATTTTACTATCTAAATTTTATTTTCTAATGATTTGATTAAGACAATCAATAATATTTTCACTTGTATGTGGATATTTTAAATATTCAATTGCTAAAGTAACTTCACAAAGTTCAAATTGAAAGTTTATAAATGAACAAGTCACACCTAAGTAATCAGCTTTGCTCCTTGATATCTAAAGGTCTAAAGTTAAAGAGCATAATACAATACCTTGATGAACAATTTCTTCTTTACAGAAATTGTAACTCTTAACTAACAGCTTCCTCACTTTTTTATCACTTGGTAACTCATAAAGTAGATCTAATTCTTTCACAAATTCATAAAACCCTTTATTATTTCTAATGCTTATTGGTTGATTATCTTTTATAATAATCCTAATAAGCTTTTTATCTAATCAATTTTTTTTAGTAGAAATATTTTGAGTTTCTTTGACATTTTCATTATTCTGCTGTAATAGATCACCATCACGTGTAATATGATATTTCGCTAAATGAAAAATAAATTACCAGTATTACCATTTTAAATATTTTACTATCTAAATTTTATTTTCTAATGATTTGATTAAGACAATCAATAATATTTTCACTTGTATG